TTATTTTCCCTCCTCATTCTTGAAATCCCACCTTCTCCACAATTTTATCATTTTCCCTCCTTGTCCAACACATTTCTATTGTTTTCCCTCCTCCTTAATTTGGACACGCGCTTTTCGACTCGTAAATGCTCAATCCGTACAATTTAGTAAAATTACCAAAAAACTGAAAATAGATTTATGCCAATTTTTTTCTCATTGAAAGGAAGCACTGTTCTTATTAAAATCGGGAAATAAAAAATGGGGGTCACCGTACTCGTTTTTGCGGAGGAGCTGCAGAAAGTGCGCACCACATTCATTTTCTCCTATTCTTGAGAGAGGACTGGGGCGAGTTTCACAATATCATGTATGTTAAGCATGTATGTGGAAGGGGGAAGAAGGCATTAAATGATCTATTTTTTCAGAATTTACACGGAGATATTACAGTTAGGACCCAGTGTGCGAACATTTCCAACACATTGCATCAGTCTCATCTCGGCAAGAATCAACCGCAACCGAAAATTCTAATAGCGTTTCTCTCCAGTCAACTTCATTTTAATAATGTTACTTTGGATGCCCTTTATCACGGCGGCCATCTTGTTATGCGCAGTAAGAGATGCGCGGCACAAAACCATCGAATCACCTTAATCACGGAATCATGCTTAATTACGGAGCCACGGCAACTAGCTTAAACGACAGGAGTAACAGAACACCCACGCTGGCGAAAGAGGGACTGAGAAGAGCCGTGGTAGGCAAGTCTATGGGAACTCTTGGGTATTTTATTATCGGCATTTATTTTAATTCCACGAGACACTGCGGTTTCCAAATTATGCTGCGAAAGCGTCTAGATGAATGTCTTTCTCAGCATCTCCAAATAGCATCTTTATCACGTCAGGCCAAATTGTTTCCTTGGCGCCTCCCTTTCCCTTCAGGTGAGACGTACAGGGAATACAGTATGCAGAGTCGTCACTGGACACTCTTAGAATGTGCCCCAGAAAACATAGCCGAATGGGAAAGCGAGAAAGCAAAGGCGGAGTAAATGTCATTTTGTCCTTGGAATTGGAAACACATCATACCCAGGACCCTATATATCCTACCCCCATCTGAGGTCAAAGAGACTTCGACAAAAAGTTTTCGCATGTCTAAGGAAACAACATGATAGTAGCATGCGGAGCTAGAACCTCAACTCATGAGCTCATGTGGCCGCCGACCCGAGGAAAACGCTCAATATTAAGCAAAACTCTCCCCGTGCATCACGGCTTTTTGTACATTTCACTTTTCCGTCGTTACCGGAACACGAAGTGAAACTGCCTGGTTTCACTTTCATGGAGGGCGTGAACACGAGACAACTATTTTTTTAAACTGAAATACAGTCCTTTGGAATTTAACGCCAGAAAAAGTCACCAACATTTTAGACTCATTTAACAACTTGAACATGGAATATAAGAGCGAACAAGGAGCGACAAATTTTGAAACAGCGTGAATTCACTTTATTAAAGACGTTTTCGTCTCCATCCTCGTCGTCGTTGCTTTTAAGCTCTCTCTTTGTGTCACAGAAGTCAAGAATGGCTTATCAAGATAATGTGAATATTATTATTTATTATGTGAATATTATTTATTATTTATTTATTTATTCCCTTCCGTAAATCAATAGTTTTTCAGTATACACTATACTAGGAGGACTTTTCAAAGGATTTTTGGCGACTGGCCTTTACTAGGCCAACCTGTGAAACAGTTTTGACAACAAGACTGTGAAAACCAAGACACTGAGCCAAAGGAAGATGAGTCACAATTAACACTTTATTCGATAATAAGCAAAACAAAGCAGGCGCTGATCTAGGACAAATACTGACCGATTTCCTGAACGAGCGCAGGAGGCGTAAGCTTCTTGGGGGGTCCGGAAGCAGGCTCCCCCAAGAGCGTTTTAGGATTTTTAACTCTTTCAAGTCTCTTTCCTGGATTTCCGAGTCATTCAGACGGGATATTGGCCAGATTTCAACTTGGAAAGTGTTTAAAATATATTTATTATGAAAAATCTGCCGATTTCTGTATAACGGTGGAAGCTGGTGTGGTTCTGCGCCTGCAAAGGCACTCTTGGTATTGGCACGAAGGCTTTTAAACAGATATTTCTAAAACACCTACAAAAATTAACTTACAGTTTACCTTGTACTTGAAAGTTCTCGTAAATTAAACGTAAGGGACCTTAAAGCAACGAGAACGTTGACGTCCCAGACGTCAAAAATGGCAACCGGAAGTTGATATTATCTCTCTTTCAGTGCTCTTACTCGACAAATTCGTACAGCAGGACTTAAAACAAAGGCATTCAGACTGGTTGTGGGAGACAAAAGTGTTCCATCAAACGAGACATCGAACTTCCGGTTGCTATTCATGGCGTACGGGACGTCAGCGCTCTCGTTACCTAAGCTCACTTTTTAAATCTTAATACTGTATACTGTAAATCCTCTATAAAGCTCCTCCCATCTCAATTAAGCTCTCTATTTTCTTAAAGAAAATAATTCAACTCCCTCTCTTTTTAGACCCCTCCCTTCCCCCTTTATTCTTAAAAATGATAGGCTGTATTGATTAATCACGGATGCAACACTTCATATGGAGTGATCGCGCTTCGTCTTGGTTAAAAAAGAAAAAAAACAGTAGTCTCTCTGGCAAAATGTGTGGCTTGCCGGGTGTTGGGAAAGGAATCACCTAATAGTTGGGTTCCCCTCCACTGATAGAATCAGTGGGTGAACGGGTAGAGGGTGTGTGTGGCAAAGGAGTTAGAAGTGGAGGGGGCTGGTGGGCGGGGGCTTCAGCCCCTTTCCTCCCCCACTTTTGTAAAATAATAAATAACTTTCTTTTATTTTACCACGGTCAACTCATTAGGACTTAAAAACACTATTTTGGAAAGTTTAAGTAAAAATCAACTCGTCTGTTTAAAACAAGAAACAATGTACATAGATTGAGACATTTCATCTTACTACATAAATACATACATACATACATGTTTTATTTATTTGAAATCTTATACAATAAATAGTATATCAACTATTTCCAAATAACTAAAATTACAAACAACAAAAAATTCCTAACCATATATGGCTAATAAGTTATTAATTAATTTTAATATCTGCACTCCCTCCCTTCCCCCCCCCCCAGACCACCTATGAAAAGCCCTCCTTTGTAGTTTTTGTTGTAGGCACCATTGAAGATTGCATCCGAGGGGTCTAGACTGCAGTCTCTTATTTTTCTTTGCGAAGTTACTGCACGCGAAACCCAAGCACGCGAGGGGCGAAGCCGCGAGTCGCGATAAACGAGGGCGTAAGCATGAGAAGAAAAAATAAGAGACTGCTAACTCTTTTTTTCTGTCTGGCGACAAAGAAGCTGTCAAGGTAATTTAATTAACCAATTAAACCAGAGTAACTTGAAACGATTGACAAATGGAACATAAACAACTGAAACATTTTACTTTTTTAAAAATCAGGTAAAATTACCTTCAATTTCTTTCCCTTAAGGAAATTTACAGCGGTTTCCTTCTGTAAGAGACCCTTAAATGTTCGAGTTTATAAGCGATTACAGCTAGGTTTATGATTGTTCGTAGTTAGTTGTGACACATGACTATTTTTATCGCTTGCATCTCAACCACAGACCAGTCAATGATCTGTCGACGGCTGTAAAATTGACCAATCGGTAACGCCGTTTCTGGGCTGACACAGGGTTTGTTTACTACAAAAGAGTCCCCAGTCCGTCTTTTCTCATCTCGTCCCAATCCCTTACAGCAACATAAAAGTCATGGTTTGCAATTGCGCTAGCTGAGATAAGAACTATAGAAGGATTTTAAGAGGAAAGGCAGACTGCAAGCAATCTAAAGGGGTCCAAAATACTGTGGTGTCCTAAAAACAAAACAGAGGCCGCCTTCTATTGCTTATTGGGGGATAAAAGTTCAATTTTATTTTAAGCCCCCCTGTTACTTCAAGTTTTATTTCACTCCGCTACTGACATGGGGATGTTGTAAGTAAAAATTGAACATAAGATAGGTGAGGATAATGGTTTAGCAAACTAACTGAGGGACTAATAAACTGCAATGCAGTAGCCCACGGTAACATAGCATAAAAACAAGATCAGCGACATAAATGGGTTAGGACACAACAACAGTAAGGGACCCACAAACTGCTATGCGGCTATGGCCATTACCATGGTTACAGTATTGTGTAAATAAAAATCTTAAAAAGAGTAAGAGTAGGTATAGAAGTAGTATACTAATGGATGAAGTGTATTATATGTAGTGTGAATATTGCCTAATATAGCAATTAAAAAGTCCAGGGAAAAAGAAAATATGCAAGAAATAGAAAAAAGAAAGAGGAAAAGTTAGAGGGGGGGATAACAGTAACTATCCCTGATTAACGTGCACGCAAAGACATCAACTATTAATAATTACTATATAGATTGTTTTCTATCTCGAACAATTTGCTTTTCTTAAAGATATGCTTACCGTATAATTGAACAACATGAAAAGGTTAGATTTCCCGAAAAAGAAAAAGGAACTGAAGGATTAGTATACTTTGAGGGTAAACAGTTATCTAAAACAAACAGATCCACTAGCTATAAGGGTAACAAAATGCTTGCGGTATTGAAAGTACTGAAAGGTCATGGAAATAAAAACTCTAAAATACATCAGATAGCCTCTGTGGCAGACACATTAGACAGCAAAATAAATGGCACCTTCTCAGCTAGTAGACAAAAATTCCTCTGGCCGGCAAAAGATGACAAAAAAAAATTTCGCACTCTCGCCACATAGGTATTTGTCAGCATAATGATGTACAAAATAAGAGGAGTCTGGGGACGAATTTATCCCAGCTGAATTAACAAGAAAATGCAAGGGAAAAGGGGAGTTACCACGATTTAAAAAAATATATTTTTTTACAAATTGCCAACCAGAAAATATGAACACCCATAATATTATTTCATTCTTTAAAACTTTGAAAGTAAGTAAAGCACAGTTGCTGTTCTTATTAAGTGAATGATTATCCTCACACTCTAAAGTAGTTATTTTTATTGAATCCGGGAGTCACGCACGAGCCAAAAGGTTTGCGTCCAATTTTCAACACTTTCTCCAAGTATTTAACTCTTTCCTCTGTAAGCTGCTTAACTGAAGCAGGCTCTAACTCAGAGTAACGGATATGTTGCTGCATTTCCTCCCACGTCTGATTTTTATCCTCCACAAACTTATGCACACACTTTTCAACTATGTATTCTTCAACAAAAAATCTTTGACTCACAATTATCACTTCCAATGCTTCGTTTACAGTCATCGTAGGTGTCATGTTGTCATAATCTGCGCACCAGTGGCCTAAGTATTCCTGGCAGCGGGCATTCAGTCGATCGATTTGGTATTCAGTCGAAAGCTTCAAAAGGGCGAGACAGTTTTCCTTTGAGATAAAGAGATCTTGATCGGGGTAAATACCTTGAAGCATTTGTTCTATTTCCGTTGCATCTTTGCCCGGAAGTGATATTTCTTTGGCACTTTTCTCTTTGAAATCCGAAGACAACATGGTCTCGAAGACTGGCGAACAGAGGATCAAAACAGCCCGATGGACATGAAATTTCCTGTCTGCGACTTTCAGAACAAGGTCACTTGATTTCCACGGGACAGAAAATTGCGTGGAGGACTCACGAGACTCATTACTATTATTCATATTGCCTTTGTCCTTATTAGCCATGGCTTCCGCATGTAGCCTCTTTTCAAGATGGCGACTGGCAACACAGGCAGCCCACACAATCTGTTTGTAAAACCGCTTTTGAGGTAAAGGACGCCTATATGCCACAGGTAAGGTAATTCAACGTTTATTTATCATTGATTTATATACATATTTAGCGATATATCGCTATAGGTGAAGCAAACGGTAAATCCAGTACATTTACTATAAAATAACAATCGGCTACACAAACATTGTGTGGGCCGCCTGTGCTGGCAATGGGTGTCTGGAAGGTTAGCATCAAAATGACGTTGACACATTATGATTCATACACAAAGTAATTCTCTACAAAGGAAGGGTCTAGAGGAGGAGAAATCCAGAACGGGAAACAGAATTGGAACCGGACCACCGGAATAGGAACCCTAATGGGAAGACGAACCTATATAAAAGCAGGGACAACACTTACATTAATATACTTTAATTTGGAATTAATTCTCATTTTGTATTTACGAAAAATAAGGCAAAAAGGGAATAGGAACCGGAACTGGAATAGATGAAAAGAAAAAGATATAATCACAGGCCTGTAGCCAGGTTTTTTACGGGGAGGTGCGATCCAACGAGGAGACAGACCAAACAGTCTGTAGGCATCATTCTCGGGAGGGGCGGGGGGGGGGGCTGCATGACGAGCGCTTTGAAAAACATGGGTATTACTGATCTCTTGGTATTTCTCAATCTTTTAAAAGGCCAAAAAGTTTTTTTTTTTATAGAGACTTTTTATTTACAATTTTGGAGAAAAATAAAAAGTTGAAAATCCGAATTATTTGCTAGGTTTGCTGCAAGATCTTTGCATCATCACGATCTTTCAATAGTGCTGCCAAGCTCAAGTCTACTTGGGTACTTCTTAGAAACAGATCAACGACTTCTTTCAGATCACTGCCGTGTTTAATAGATAGTGGATGTGTATAATAGCCAGTAACAAGAGCTTCTCTTGTGCCACATCAATACTACTTTTAACTTTTTGGCTAGTAGGACAGCAGATATTTTAAACTATCCTCAAAGACAAAAGGCTACACAAAACAAGGAAAAATACAGACCTTCTGGGTCCTTCAAGCACAAGAGGATCCGAGATCCATCCGGCCCTTGTAATTGGCTGTTAAGCAGCTAATTTGAAAACGAGAATGTCTGATCCTTCATACGGTCTGATAATGCTTTTAAAAACAGTAAATTCAGCCAGCAATCAGAGGTCAACTTCTGATAGAGAAAAGATAAGAAACGGCAAGCAGCCACTGTACAATAAGAGAACACCACATAGCCCCCCAGTGAAAGAAAAGGAGGTGGAAGAAAACATTTTCTCAATTAATTCGCACTACGAATCCTTCAAAAAAGACTTTGCCAATGAAGGAGTTAGCGTCGTAGCAAGGAAAAAAAGGTAACGTAGGCAATTACCAAATCCCCTTTTTTTATACTCTTACACAAAAGCTAAATTATGTTTTGTGGAAAGCGTCAGTCGGGGCATGCTTGTCAACTCTTTCGCAGTGATTTCAGTTTTACTAAACAGTCAGTGAATTAAAAGAGAAAAATACTATTAGTTCACTTTGTTTTAAATAGTCGGAATGATTCTCATTAGAAGTAGGCAAAAATCAATAGGCTGGGCGCTTATGTCGCTTTTCTTTAAAGAAAATTAAAAAGGAAAGCAAAATAACCGTCCCCCTGATTAGCCACCCTCCTTCGAATAAGCACCCATCATTTTCAGCTGAAATTTGACATAAGCGCCCGATACCCTGCGAGCAGAGGCTTTTCGATCTTCCTAGATAAGTCGGAAGATCGAAGGGCCTCTGCTCGCAGGGTAAGCGCCCAGGCACTTATTCGAGAAAATACGGTACTCGCCTTCACTGAACGCAGGCTAGCAAAAAGCCTAGGCGAATGACATTCAGAGTAAATTATAATTGCATCATTAAAAAATACAAACTCGAACAATTTCACCAAACAAAGAATCCTAGTGAAAACATTTCCTCGTCTAACTTTCAAATTATCGCTGCCCTCCAATAAGCCCCGCATTTGAGGCGTGAAAAATTTAATAAGCGCGGGGCGCTTATTCGAGTTCAATACGGTACAGTAAAAGGTTTGTAGGATTCAATCACTATTTTCAATGTTTTGGTTTCTCACCTTCTAAGAAGAAGACTTGTGAAGTCACGTTACCATGAATCACAATAATTGGGAGATTAAGCAACGAAGACGGCGACGGCAACGAGAACGGCAAAAAATTCATTGGTTTATATTAGCAAAACGACAACTTGGTAAGTGCATCACGCTTTTTAGCCGTCGTTGCATGACTGCAACTTGAAACTTTCTTCTTTCACGGGCCCGCTTCATAGAGACGGTGAACACAACACAAAGATTTTCGTTCTTTTTTCTAAACTTAGATACGGTCCTTTCGGATTCAACCCCAGAAAATTTCGCCAACTTTTGACAAATTAAATGAAATTGAATGAGATGGGTGAACTTTGAAACAGTGCGAATTCTCTTTAAAGTGAATTTTTGGTTTGTTCTCATCCAAACAATTTTGCTACCATGGCAACGTGACGTAACAACTTCTCCTCTCTTCTTCCCAACCTTAAAAGGACTGGAAAATTTGGAATTAACGAGAAATGGTTTGAAAGGACCCGAATTCAATTTCTCAGTGGCGGACAGTCTGTTCCGTGACTGCACGTGGCACAACGTACGTGAACCCTAGCTAATTTTCGGGTATGTTTTAGATAAATGTCTAAATGCGTGAACCAGTAAAGCAGTTGCTCACTCAAATTGGCTCCAAAAAAGGGGCGGCAATGACCCGCGCAAGCCTTTCAGTTTAATTTATTTCTTTGCGCCAATTTCCATATTTTACATTCCGCATAATTATGTCATTCCGCAAGCCATGCCACATGCCATTCCGCAAACTCATTCCGCCTTTTACCCTCACCGATAGGTTAGCCATCACAATCGTCGCTTACTCAAAAATTTTCTTCCGTCTGCGTCATAACCAAATTCATCGGATCCATCCCTTACAAGGAGAAAGCCAAGCAATTCAAATGAACATAGCTCGATACAGAAAGGCAGTGTACGGTGCACTATGGGTGCAGGCAGCATTGGTCGTTTGTCATCTGCCACTTATCCCCTGGAGGGGACTGCCCGTATGAAAGGGGTGGGGATGCTCGTCGTCTCGCCTAGGGGTGTAAATTTCGGATTTTGGTCTGACTTAGGGTGTTCTGGGCAAAACGCCATCATATTTAGCCGTGAAGGTCTCTTTTAGGGCTGTACGCGAAAAAGTATAAAAATATATATATTGTCTGTGTTTTAACATGGTCTCTTTTAGGGGTCAAAAAAAGCTTGGGCCCCGCCCAGATCGGTCTCCTTTAGGGGTTTAATTCATAATTTCATTCCTTTCATATGCGGAGTTCCCCCCGGGTCACTTATTATCATAGCAACACCTTTAATACATCAAAGAGGGATGCATTCATCCTATTACCTTGCTTGGGAATTTACAAGTACTCTATTGTATATAAACTCAACGCTGAACCCCTTTATTTATTGCTGGAAGATCAGAGAAGTGAAATTAGCTGTAAAAGAAACATTAAGGCGACTCGTCCGTTGATGGAGCGGTTAGTTTACTATGGTCTACTCTACTTTTTAGCTATAAATTCATTCCAAACCAAAACTTGCTTTAAGGAAAAATCCTCCCCGAAAAGAAATGAATGGTTTTAGTTGAATCATTTTTTATACAAGCGAACATTGCGAGACACAAAGCCCATATACTCCAGTAAAATGGGGAAAGCCGCGAGCAGAATTTATTTCACTAGAGAATTTCAGTTTTCCATTCAGGCTAGCGGTATATCACGTGACTCAGTTACTGGCTTAATTTACACTGATTCAGAAATGTGTTACAGAAAACACCCGCGTCTAAGAACCTAGTGGTTTAAAAACCTGCTGGCAGAAATTGTCCACTTTAATTTACCCAAACATAAAAGAACCTGTTTAGCCAAGCAAGATCAAGCAGGATCTTATATGTGGGTTAAAGTTCAATCATTGCCTTCGAGGTACAAGAACGCAACCCCTCATTTCTGTTGGGTGTCCTGTGCAATTAATAAGCGAGGTTTTTTCGAGATTGCATTTGTGTCGACACACATTTGCCTCGCTTTGAGGCGCTTGCTTACATATTTCCTCTCTTTGACACTCTAACTCACGTGGTGATTCGTGTGTCCTCGGCATTCATCTTTCAAACGTTTGCTGAGGTCTGCTATTCTGTCTTCTTAAAGCGTTCATCTTTTAAAAGAGTGCTGAATCTTCGTAAAGCTTACAAATTTAAGAGTTTGCTGAAGGTCTACTATCGATCTGTGTTTAATGAATCTTCCAAAGCGTTCATCTTTCAAACGTTTACTGAACGTTCACACCCTGAGTGAAATTTTACTTTGGATTACTAAGCCTTCATATTTTTCTTTTGAAATGATGCGTGTGACTCCTGGCGCATGCATCAAATCGGGTTGTTTAGCTCAGCGTCTGTTGTGCCGCAAAGTAAATTTACCGGCGAGTTGTGAAGCTCGGCGTCCGTTGTGCCACAACTGTAAATCTACTGAGTTGTGTAGCTAGGCGCCCGTAGTGCCACAGAGTAAATCTACCGAGTTGTGTAGCTCGGCGGCCATTATTCCACAAAGTAAGTCTACCTAGATGTGAAGCTCGGCGGCGCCTTTTTATCACTGGACTCTGGACACTATGATATATATTATTTGCATTTTACTACCTTGTTTTTGCATTATATTTCCTCGTTTTTGCTCTGTGTTTAATAAAACTGCATTGCTCTCAGCCAATCCTCAGATTCAAGAATTTTTTTTTCATGTCTATATTATTATGATGAAAAACAGATTACATTCAAATAATTCCCTAAGCTCTGAAACTGTTTCGGTCTCCGTTTAGTTTCAGTGTATTTTTTGCCAGAAAAAAAAATACATATGCATACAGACATTCAATATATTACAAAAAATTTGTTTAAAGATTAAAGAGACGTAAATTGCAAGTAAAAGAATTTGAAAAAAATTTTCTGGCGTTGAAGCTCAAATCGAAACCTTGGTGCTTATTATATGAGCTCCCTCCCTAAACTAAGACTATACATAATGAATAAATAAACGGCAAAGTCATACTGCAATACACCTTTTGCTGTTCATTACGAGAAAATACGCATTCATTTGTGTGAAACGGCGACCAACAGCGCGGAGGTACATTCATTAGCGCGAAAAAGCGAACATTTGCGCCTAAATCAGATTCAATAACGATTTTTGCATTTTAATCAGCATTTAATAACATTTTTGGGCATTCATTTGCGCCATTCAGCATACAAAAGAGAAAAATATACTTTCATTAACGCCAACATTCGAGTCATTAACATTATCTTGAAAATCATTAGGGCCAATAGATAAACATTTAAGTGCAAACGTTATTCATTAAAATTTGTATGACACTGTTTGCAATTCAACAGCATTCGTGGACAGCTTTAGAATGGATAAGACAAACATTAATGCGCTTGTACAATCAACTGAGCGTTCTTTACATTTAATATACAAAAATCTATTTTCAATTAAACAATACCAATTCCCCCAAAAAATTGGCCTGAATTTATTTAAAGAATCACGCCGTACTTCGCCACTGTGTGTTCGTCGACGGCTGCGGCTATACATTTACCCTAGAAGTCATGGTGGAGTGCGACAGGGAGTGGAGGGCGTACCGCTAAGTGTGCGGCCAACGAGGACGAAACTTGACTATGACCATGGCAATACCACCTATCAGATGTTTTCCTCGGCAGCCGCTGGAGTAATGAATACTGTGTCGGTTTTTTTTCTAGCACGGGCGAGGAAAAATTGGATCCCCATAACTCGGTGGTCTTTAGGTATGACGGGATGCCAGCCCGCCGCCCAATACGAACACAGCTTATGCTTCCCCCCTCGACATCGTTAAAAAGGATTTAAGTTGTCTGAAAGCGACACCAAAGGCCGACATCTCGAGTCCGGAAATTAAAAGATGTATAACAGGAATAAGGGCAAAGCCCTAGCAATCTCACTAGCGGAGTTCGGAAACAACAACTGCAGTGCTTGAAGCTCTGCGCAGAGGATGACATTGTGACCGCAGCTAAATGTGCTAAGGGGTACCATCTCATGCAAACCTACCTCCCAAAATGTTTAAATAGCGAGGTTTTTGAGGGGTATTCATTTAACGGACTGAAATTCAGGCCAAATTTGTTGAATTTCTTTTGTTTAATTGAAAATCGGTTTTTGTATATTAAATGTAAAGAACACTCAATTGATTGTACAAGCGCATTAATGTTTGTCTTATCCATCCTAAGGTTGTCCAGGAATGTTATTGAATTGCAAACAGTGTCATAAAAATGTTAATGAATAGTGTTTGCACTTTAATGAATGTCAGTTGTCCCTATTGACTTTCAAGATGGTGTTAATGACTTTGATGTTGGCGTTAATGAAAGTATATTTTTTTCTTTTGTAGGTCGAATGACGCAAATGAATGCCCAAAAATGTTAATGAATGTTGATTAAAATGCAAAAATCGTTATTGAATCTGATTTAGGCGCAAATGTTCGCTTTTTTGCGCTAATGAACAGGGCGGATAAAGGTTGGGCGGTGAAACGAGCGCGTCCGAGCTAAGAGGTGTGATGCAGTGGACTGGGACTCTGCTTAGAAATGTCGCTTGTTTTCGACTTCGGTCAGGGCTTGCGATGTGGTTTGCACATTAGACAGTGCCGCTGTCACTGGATTATGGCGGCTTGATTTGTTTTCTTGCACTTCTTCCTTGTTCCTTTGTGCTGGTACGCTGTCTCTGAGAGGCAAATGTTGCCATTTTTTGCGGGAGGTTTAGTTGGAGTAGACAAACATCTCGTTCAAAGGGTTTCTTTTATTACTTCCATGACTCTACCACTGAATTATATTTTTGTTCTGCTACTCGCCAATGTCGATGTTATTCCAAAACAAAAACAACTAAGTACTGTCTAAAACAAGAAGGAAAATCTCATCCATGTCATCCATGGCAAAACTAAAAGACAGCAGACTGTGTTTCGTAACTCGATGACGTGTATTTTATAAATGCGTGCAGCTCGTGCAAGGTGAAATTATGCTAATTTCAATCACCATCATCCTTCTTTTTAATTTTGGAAAAAAAAAAACATCTCATACGTCTTTCTGTTTCTTCGAAACTTCAAAATTAGTTTCCTCTCAGTTTTTACTGTTTACCTTGTTTTGTTTTAGAGAGAAAAACGGAGAAAAAACCTTACAACTAACCTCAAAAAATTTTGTTTACATGCGGTTGCCGGATTTGCAACGCATTGCGCGAATCGCCATGGCGCGTTGCACCCGAGAAGCAAAGTTTGAAGAAGTACAACGCCACTATATCAATATATATCAATCTAATTTTTTGTTATGTTACATAAAATTTATCCCCCTTTAACATATGTAAAAATTGAGGTTAAGAAGTGTTAAGCTTTTGCAAACGAAACGGCGAAAGACGATTAGGTGATATTTAGTGGAAGGAGTAGGTATTCAACACTTTCAAATTAAACTCAAGTTTTGTCATTATACGACCAACAAGTTTGACTTATAGGCATACAGACACAAACATATGAAACTGTTTATTGATATTGTTATGAAACGAACATATCTATTTAACACTGTAGCCTGAAATTACAGAAAGAAAATAGGATTTCCGGTTTGCAAAAAGGAAAATTTCGCCGGCGATCAAGCGCACCGCAAGCGCGAAAAGAGCGCTCGTGCCAGTCCTACTCCGCATCACACATTAAATGAAGAGCGGAGCGCTCGTTTCACCGCCCAACCTTTATCCGCCCTGCTAATGAATGTATCTTCGCGCTGTTGGTCGCCGTTTCACACAAATGAATGTGTATTTTCTTGTAATGAACAGCAAAAGGTGTATAATTAGGATAAAAATCAAGCAAAACAAAACGGACAAAACAGACAAAATGCAGCAAAAAAACAAGTATTATTTACAAATGATTAATCAACTAAGAAGAAATGTTTTTAATCTGGATTTAAAAAGAGAAATAGTAGCAGCAAAAACGAACGTAGAGCATTTTTTTTCTCTTTAATTCTCATCTCGTAAGTATGGTACAAACTGACCCAGACATAATTTAGCCCATTTTTTGAACTTGTGTATACTGTTAAGACTTCCTGGCTGGGATGAGGCGATTAATAGTACATTAATAAAAAGCCTTTTTAAATCAATTTGAATCTTTGTTCTACAGATGTATCGATCAAGACTCGGTTAATAAACTTTGTATCACTGATCATGACAGTTTAGCTCGTTTTCTAAAAACCAGACAATTGTGCTATTTGTTTTGCCAATTGCACGCAGCAACAAGATTGCCAATAACTCTATAGTTTAATAAAATGAAAATACAGCCCACCGCATATCTAATTGGTTTGTGACATGATGAAGCTATCACATAAGGAAAACAGATATATTAAAAAAAGGTTCGCTTGAACGTAGTTGCTTCGGAGAAAAGTCATGGTAATGCCAAACTAGCAAACAATTAGAGAACTGTATTGTTCTGCAAAATTCACTGGAGAGTCGAGGAGAGGTACATGGCGAGCTAATTTTTCTCTAAGACAAAAGAAAACAGCTAAATGTGATGGTGAATGATGGTGCAAGTTCCATGTTAATATTTTGGGTTCACTATACTCAATCGAAATGAACGTCACCATGGTGTTAATTTTAAATATTTTACCTTTCATATAACAGATCCGAATTGGACGCACCGGGAGATGATGTGAACGGGGGAAATGATTTTAAAAAGCAATTTAAATGAAGATATAATCTTGACGTAGTAAAATAGCAATTGAAGCAGTTGCAAATAAACCGCCCAAAATGTCAAAGTTATAGCCCACACAGTTTGACATGTTTGGGGATATACTCGGTTAAGACTTCCTCTTCTAAAGAAAATGTGGCCAATTTAGTGCTGGTATCCATGTGAACGTCAGTCAAAGCTGATTATAGAAAACAGAAATAACCTCCGTTAGAAATAACCTCCGTTAGCAAAATTTTCTCGTTCTTGCTCTCACTATGTTTACTAAAACTGCTGATTGCTCTCAGCTAATCGTCGAATTCAATTTTTTTTTCATGATTTTTGTATGATAAAAACAGGTTACATTCTAATTTCCTAAGCTCAAACGAACGTTTTATTTTCTTTAATTTTCACCTCGTAAATGGCCCAGACTTTCGAGCCCATTATTTGAACATTTTTACATTGTTACTGAGACATCACTGCCTGTGATGACATTATGAGCGCGTCAGTTAACTTCTAGCAATTAGCGAAAACCGTTTTTTACTCAATTTGAATATATGTTTAACAGAAATATCGATCAAGACTTGGTTAATAGACTTTTTATTACTAACAGTTTAACTCGTTTTCTAAGAGCCAGGCAATTGTGCTATTTGCTCGCTAATCGCACGGCAACACAAAGGCAACACCAACATTGTCGAATATCATCGTTTAATAAACTAAAAATACAGAACAAATATTTAATTGTTTGCTGACAAGGTGCATGTAGCAGTCATATAAGGAGGACAGATATATTAAAAAAGAGTTCAGTTGACTGTAGCGGCATCGCAGAAAAGTCATGGAAATGAAAAATTTGACTGGAAGTGAAAACCCGCAAACATTTGCAGAACTTGACTGCTCTGAGGAATTTACTGGAGAGGTACATGGCGAGCTCGTTTTTCTCTCTGTCATTAACACTTTTTTGTCAATTACAGCATTTTTGGGGAATACTCTGATCCTTGTTGCCCTTCGCAAGGACACATCAATTCATCCGTCATCCAAACTCCTGTATCGTAACCTAGCGATAACTGATCTTTGTGTTGGTATCATTGCGGAGCCTCTAAACGTTGCATATTGGATATCTGTGGTGAAGAAAAGATGGGATATTTGCCATTACGCATATTTGACAGTATATTTCGCAAGTGTTACTTTGTGTGGAGTGTCGTTGATAACACTGACTGCAATAAGCGTGGACAGACTTCTCGCTTTGCTACTGGGTCTCAAATACAGACAAGTTGTAACTTTGAAAAGAACACGTTTTATTGCTATTGGTGGTTGGATTGTGTCCGTTGTCAGTGCATCTACACTCTTTCTGAATCTTCTTATTTTTTCATTGTGCCAATATATTGTTATAGCTTTTTGTTCAGTCACTACAATCTGTGCCTACACAAAACTTTTCATGTCTCTGCGTCATAACCAAATTCATGGTCGGAACGATGTTTTTCAAGGGCAGTCGAGCCAAGCAAATACACTGAATAAAGCTCGATACAGAAAGGCAGTGTACAGTGCACTGTGGGTACAGGTAACATTGGTTATTTGTTATCTGCCTTACGTTATAGCTGCAGCTTTAACACCTCAAAGGGGGATGCCTTTATCTACTTACCTTGCTTTGCAATGTACAGCTACTTTAGTGTATTTAAACTCGTCGTTAAATCCGTTTGTGTACTGCTGGAAGATCAAAGAAGTGAGACAAGCTGTAAAAGAAACATTACAACAACTACACCTCTGTAACTGAACTAAGACTTAGAGTAAGAACATTTACTAACGAACTTGATGAGAAAATATATATAAGAAAACCAGACAAATGTCTTAGTCTGAATTGCACACTTAGGGTTGTTTTCTGTTTCATTGCAGATTGTAAAGACACAAACAAAATCATTTGTTTATGTTAAAAAGTTTAATAATCATAAAACAAAATGAAAATATCACTAAAACTAGTCAGTTAGCTAATTAGTTCTCTGGCAATGAAGACTACGAAGCAGGGACATATTCTTAAAGAGAACAGCTCACTTGCTCGCAACATCACACCAACAGTGACTAATGTTTTTTAAAGCCAGAAGACAATCAGAGAGTTTTACTGTTCTGCCGAATTTACTGGAGAGGTACATGGCGAACTTATCTTGAAAATACACTGCATAAATGACAGCTGTTGATAGCCATAAAAGCCGCACTATATTCATAGTATAATTAAGTTTAACAAACGTCATAAGTTCAGTCAAGGCGCAAAAATAAAAAAAATTCCGCCGGAATGCTTTTTCAAAATCGAACAATGTTTATTGTGGGATAATGAGGGCCAGTACATGATGTAGGTTAAATTTGATGGTCAATAAATACACATTAACAGTGTTCTGTTGCCTAACACAGGTCATTTTAATAAAAGCTTGCGATCACACGAAGGCTTTGTTTTTAGATATAATGAAAAGTGAACCCTTATACTTCTGGTTTGCGGGTGACGTCACAGCGGCCATCTTGGTCGTCAAGAACAAAAAGCATTTCTCTTCTCTGGAAAGTAACCTCTATTTTCATGTAAATTATTGGAGAAAACATTTCTATTGTACTGCCCCCAACATGGCCGCCTTGCCACGTGGTTGCAAACTAAGAATACCCACATGGTAACGTGATATCAATGGAGGAGAAGGGGCTGTCATCAGTCCTCCTCGGGGGATTGCTCAGATGACTAACTGTTACCTACTGTTGTTATTTGCCATCGTATGAATTATTTTATTCAAAATAAAGTCTGTTGCGAGGTCGAATTATTGCAGGAATTAGTAGCAAAAGCGAAATACTTTCTCAGCTAAGAGTTAAAGAAGACGTATATACAATGCTTAAAGGATGGAACATCACCATGGCCCTTCGAACCCCCTCTTTTACAACAATAGGCCTTGGGTTCATATAACAGTTGAGTACGCCACCAGCACTGCTAACTTTTGTCCCCTCTCACTTTCAAATTCGTTCCTTACGGGCCTGCATGACAAGACAGCATGTCTCGCGGAAAAAAGCGGCGAGAAAACTGCTTCGATTTGAAAATTTGCCTGTTGCTTGGTAATTTGCAGCTATTTGCGTTGCGCGTCACACACGTTGATAATTGACCAATTAATTGTTTGGTAAATCAAAATAATAATTTACCTTCAAGAGGGCATTCCGGTTTCTTGAGGGTAAATGCCTGCGACAAATGTGACCGCAGCGGGGGGAATTGTAGTCACTTTCTATTTATGTATCTACCCCTCTCTTGATCTACCTTATAACACCTTTAAAATGAATTGACCCATTTTTTTGAAATTGAATAAAGAACACTTTACTTTTCACCTACGGTGCAAACATTCTGGTACGTTTGCTAACGGTAAATATGAAGACCTTTCTTACCCGGAAAATCCGAAAATGTGCTACGCCATTCTAGTAACTCTATTGAAAATGCAACTCCTTTATAGTCAAACCATTCGTGAAAATGCGACCTCATCCAGCGGCACATCCCCATAAGTCTCTTATAAGGAAGTACCTTCCCACCTCCCCGGGCTGTAATTAATAACGACAAGGACAACAACAGAATCATACATTGGACTAACAACTAACTTCCAAGAACGGTACAGAAATCATTTGACATCCTTGGAAGAAACGAGACGGAATTGTTCAAACATGTGTGGACTCTCAAAGATGCCAACAGATCCTTTCACTTGCAGTGGAAAGCTCTCAGGAATAGCTCAGGAATTGTAAACCATATTACAAGGCTAGCAAAAAATGTAATATGTACCTCCAAGAAAATGTTTTTCGATGATTTGTAAAAAAAATTACATATTCTGAACAAAAGAAACGAATAAGCAAGTTCAAACCCCCACAGAATTAGATTCACTTTTAGACGTTTTGAAATAACGTAACGTAACGCAACGAAATTGCACTGATCCCGTAAAACCTACTGAGGAACTTCTATACCTCCGTGTCGACTTTGTGTCTATTTACAAACGTTTTAATCACTCTCCGTCTGCCTCGCAATCGCATATTCAGAGACTTTTATAATCGGAGGCTTTCTCATCATCCCGCACTCGCTGTTCTACCCTCGTTTCCCACACCACGCATTGAACTCCAGCCTCCTCACTTAGCCTTGGCAAAGAAACACGTTTCACGCGCAAAAATTCTCAGAAGCAGTCCTAAAATTGCTTTCTTCGCAGTAGGTGCATCTTGTTTCAGGAAATATGAAGGAGTTGCTTTAACGGGACGTCAGTGCAAACTGTAGAAATAAAAAAAAGGCCCTTCAGCATGTCTTCAGGGCCGAATCTGTTTACAGAGGGTCTGGATGGGGTTAACTGACAACTGACGAATTAACTGACCAAAAAAATTCGTTCAATAATTACATTAATTGATTTTGGTTAATTAATTACGCGTCGATCATAAGTGACGTCATGAAGAGTTTAACTGAAAGCTCTCCGCATGAAACAGTCCGTCATAAGCTCAATTCGAAAGGCAAGCACAATACCCAGTCCTCCCTTCCTAGGGAGTCTATTGATTCAGTTACGACGTCATTCGCTTCTCAGTGTACTTGTTGTCGAATCGGACTCAATAAACTTGTTACCCAAACTTCTTGTTAAGTGATCTTTGGGAACACGTGATTGCCTAAAATTTAACCGATAACTGACATTTACCTTGGGTTTTACTGTCAGGTGACAAAGGACCTGATTGTCCTTTATTACTCTTGCATGCGTAAGCAGTGAGACTCATAATCTGCCACGCGTTTCTCGCCCGGGGTGGGGGGCGTACTCCCTTATATGGGCTGTATAGGTATGTTGGGCGCCAAAGGTATGGTTTTTTAACCGTTTTTGTCTGAAATAGGGTATGTGAATTGGGTATGTCTTTTAGAGGAAGCTACTTCTTCATCATTTGGCGACAAGACCATTTCCCTTTAAATGTTTACGCCAACCTTGTACATGCCGTAATAGCTTGTCACGCGCTCCGGTCACGCTCCGGGCTCCAGGGCTTCAGGTCTGAAATAGGGTACCAAGTTTTTGATGAGGTCTGAAATAGGGTAAGGGTTTCAGGAAGGGTGCCGCACACCCTAACCCAACTTTTTTGAAAGTACTCCCCAGGGTTTTTCGTCGTAATCTATACACAAATGGGGGGTCATTGTGTCAGGCGTTCCTTGCTGAGATCGTGGAAACTGGGACTAAGAATCGTTGCCTGATCGAAGCCACGCATGTTTTGCGAAGAAAGCTTAGGAAAAATTAAATTTAGAGCTTTTCCGAAACGTGTTGGTCAACGAATTACTTTGGAACAAGTGAACACTACTGAGTGGTTGAAAAAAAATAAGAATCTGAACTAGCAAACCTGCGATGGTCGGGTGTTGTAAACTTTCATTGCATACAAATGGTCTTGCGATGAGCATGCGATTTATTTTCGGCGATGATTGAATTGACGTACCATGTAAACCACTTTTTTGATCTCTGGCAATGGTGTAATTTATATGGAAACGAGGCCCTTGAATTTTCCTGTATTTATACACGCGTATGGCCTGCGAGCGCAGACGTATTTCTGGTCGACGCTAACACGCGTACTAAAACAGTTCAGAAACAAATAAAAAGTATCGACTTCGATAAAGTGGGATGTAAAAAAGCTTTAGCGGGTAAATCCTGTTTCGTGTAGAATTAATCCCCTCCTCATTTCTCGATCTAATCTCCAAGAAAGCGTGACTGACTGCACCTGTAAGCGCCTTCTTGTTTCCTACAAAACCTGTTTCTAAGGCCTTTTAAAACATCGTTCCACTCTTTAAGTCAGAAAATGTGATCAAATGTGCGTTTATATGGGTAACCTTAGCAGCAGCACGGATGCACGATGGCTGCTAATGAGGGCGTTATAAAAGCAGTTGTAAGTTTTTACCAAGATGATTCAGATGCGGTGTTTCTTGGTCTTTCTTACGATCTACGTCCATATATTCTGAAGGTACAAATTTTGGTTGGCTTATTGGTTGGAAATGTTGACCTCTGGCCAGTAAAAAAGTTTGTGTGGAGGAGAGTAACACAAGACTTGAGAAATGGAAGGCTACTTGAAATCCTCTCAATCGCAAGACTGATAAAAATTAACGTACTATTACATCAGTTTTTGAATTTAATGCTTAATTTACATTATATGTGATCTTTTAGCTAAAATTCGGATCAAAAATATACAAATAAGTTGCATAGTTAATTATTAATAATCATTTAACTGACAACTGACAAAAAGCTTAAAATTTTAACCAGTGGCGGATCCAGGGGAGTGGCCCGGGGGACTGGATCCGGTAGTGTTAACTGACAACTGACATTTGTACCCCCATCCAGATCCTCGTTACAGTTAGTTGTCTCTTTGAGAAGTGCGATAATTTTAAAGCACAGTTACTCTTCCACCGCATTTAACCTCAAAAGCCACTGTAATATGACCCTGCTGGGACACTGTTAATGCAGGGCTTTGTGTTCCAAAAAAATTATGGTTTAAAGTTTCGTTCAAAGTCTTCATTGACAGTGTATATTGCTACTATCAGGAGGTGTGTCTGTCTTTCTTCACCAGCGACTACAACGTGTTCACCAACTGGGTGGCACGCAATGCGGTAATAGCGATCTCCTTGGATGTTGACACTGAAGTTGGCAAGATGTAGTCCATCTTCATTGAACAAGTGACAGGATTGGTCTGAGTCCAACACCATAACTCGCCCATCTTTAGACACAGTGATTTCCTGTACAGACTCGATTATCCCTTCACTAAACGAACCAACATAGCTACCGTTCCTTGTATGGTATAGATCAACCACTTTATGTTCCTTCAATATGAACACCTTGCTACCGCTGACGGTCAGTCTGTTGAAATCGCTTCCTTTCCCAACAGGAAACCAAAGCTGAAAGTCAAGAGTCTCGTTTAAGACTTGCACTTCAAACTTCTCTGGCGACGAGATTCTCGGTGACATCAACTGTGTCACTAGTAGATAGATCGTATCGTCCATGTCTGAAATGGCGACATCATAGATGTACGAGGTAGTTTCAGATTGGGGTCTTAAACTCATATGAAAATTCCCATTGCTATCGAACACTTTCAAGGTAAGATACCACGACGGCCACGGCCACGAAAACGTCGCTTACATAGTCAGTTTGCGTTCTTTCAATCTCTATCGTGATTACTACTAATAATAATATTTAATAATTGTATGGCGCATTTTCTAAAAAAAAATAATCAAACGCGCATAACTCGAACTCGTTTACTTTGTGAAATGCAAGCAAACTCTTTTTGAGCCGAATTCCTAAGAATCATATTCAAGTTCAGAAAGAGACAGAAAATTTAGCCGTCGCTTGTTTACGTCCTCCATAAAACGTAACATTAGGCATTTTCCCGTCGTAGTCGCGCAGTGACGGTAATGAAATGTACAAAAAAGCGAGATGCACGTGCAGAGTTGTTGTTTTGCTTATTCAATCAATTGCTTTTTTGACGTTCTCGTTGTCGTCGTCGTCGTGGCATCTTAAAGTCCCTTGTTTCATGCAGTGCGCTATTTAAGGCCCAGTCCTCAACCTCACCGAATGTAAACAGAGAATCCGGTTTCTGTAATCCGAGAAATTTTTGTTTGTGGAATCCGGAATCCTGGGCTTCTGAATCCAGAATACAGCTCAAGAATCCGGAATCGCACTAAATCGCACTTGGAATCTAGAATCCAAGTTCCACTGACCTGACAAAGACTGGAATCCGGAGTCCGCGGCGTGGAATCCAGAATCCAGGACTGTCTTGGATTCCTTTACATGGAGCGATCAACCTTATTAAAAAGAAAAGACGGACCATTGCCATCAAGGAACATAAGATTGGAAAGCCAAACGAGAAGGGCAATATATGTGAGCTTAACTGAGCTGAATGCAATGGCCAAGCGAAGACGACAATGAGAAAGTGTATATTCACATGTGTTAATAAAACTCTACTTTTTACACCCTAGAAACTGCCCGCTCATAGCGGTTGATTATTTTCCTGTGAGTGGTGGCAACTAATTGGTTCTTATGTATATCTGTTGCTTATGAGCCAATCACAGGACTCCATTTTCTGATATATTAACATTTTATTACGTTGTTTTTGCATTACATTTCCTCGTTTTTTCTCTGTGTTAACTACAGGTTACACTTTAAATAATTCCCTATCCTTAAACGAACGTAACGCATTTTTTTCCCTTTAATTCTCATCTCGTAAACTAACTGACCCTAGCCATTTTTCGAACATGTGAATATTGCTCAGACTTCTTGGTTGCGATGAGACAATTAGTAGCACATTAATAATCTACGTATACTGACCCTGTGAGCGCGTCAGTTAAACCTCTGACAATTGAACAAACCATTTTTAATCAATTTGAATCTTTGTTTAACAGATGACTGATCATGACAGTTTAGCTTGTTTTCTACAAGACAATTGTACTATTGGTTTTGCCAATATCACGGCAGCAACAAGATTGCCAATAACTCTGTCGTTTAATCACTGCCAAATGAAAATACAGCCCACATATATCTAATTGGTTTTTGACATGATGAAGCTATCATATATGGAGGACAGATATATTAAAAAAAGGTTCGCTTGAACATAGTTGCTTCGGAGAAAAGTCATGGTAATGACAAACTAGCAAACAATTAGAGAATTGTATTGTCCTGCAAAATTCACTGGAGAGTCGAGGAGAGGTACATGGCGAGCTAATTTTTCTGTGAGACAAAAGAGGATAGCTAAATATGATGGTGAATGATGGTGCAAGTTCCATGTTAATATTTTGGGTTTACTATACTCCATCGAAACGAACGTCACCATGGCGTTTTTAATTTTAGATATTTTGCCTTTCATATAACAGATCCGAATTGGACGAGCCGGGAGATAATGTGAACGGCGAAATAAATTTAAAAAGCAATTTAAATGAAGATATGATCCCGACGTAGTGAAATAGCAATTTAAGCAATTGCAAATAAACCGCCCAAAATGTAAAAGTTATAGCCCACTCAGTTTGACATGTTTGGGGATATACTCGGTTAAGACTTTCTCGCCAAAGAAAATGTAGCCAAATTACTGCTGGTATCTATGTGAACGTCAGTCAAGGTTGATTATAGAAAAACGGCACAAGCAATTTGAAGCTACAAAATATAGAAACATTTAAAAGCCCCCAACTTTAATATAAGTTCCACCAGTGACAGGCCCATTAATCTGAAACAAAAAAAAAACGTGCTATCATTGTAAGCCCCACCCCCACAATATAAGCTCCTCTCTAACTTGTACTGAAATGAATTCGATTTATTATGATGTTTGTAAGCTGAATTAAACTCCAGTAAATGAAAAACGCATTTTACTGGAGAGGTACATGGCGAGCTCGTTTTTCTCTCTGTCGTTAACACTATTTTGTCAATTACAGCATTTTGGGGGAATACTCTGATCCTAGTTGCCCTTCGCAAGGACACATCAATTCATCCGTCATCCAAACTCCTGTATCGTAACCTAGCGATAACTGATCTTTGTGTTGGTATCATTGTCGAGCCTCTGTATGTGGCTCATTGGACATCTGTGGTGAACAAAATATGGGATATTTGCTATTACACATATTTGACAGCATATTTCCCAAGTGTTACTTTGTGTTCAGTGTCGTTGGTAACATTGACTGCAATAAGCGTAGACAGACTTCTCGCTTTGCTACTGGGTCTCAGATATAGACAAGTTGTAACTTTGAGAAGAACACATTCAATTGTTATTGGTGGTTGGATTGTGTCCATTGTCGGTGCATCTACTTCCTTTCTTAATATTCTTATAGTTTCATTAATAAACTCTTCCAATTAGCAGTGTTTTTCACGTAAATGCTTTATGTCGGTACCACACAGAAAACACACAAAGGGTAATGGGCAAAATTCTGGTGGCAGGGAAGCGCTTAAATCTAGGGGATAAGGGGACCAGGAGAGAAGCCCTCCTGGGGGGAGACAAGATCGAGTGGTACCGGGGTAGCCACCCTGGACAAGAGTCCTGATCAGTCTCCGGGGTGAGGCCCATATCCCCAGTACAGGAACTGAGGGGAACCAGGAGGGTGGCCCTCCTGGGTGGAGTACAGATCAGGTGGGACCGGGGTCCACACCCTGGAGTGGATATTTTTCCGGACCTGTCTCCAAGGGCTAAGCCTTACTGTGGGGTAAAGTGCAGCCAGGGGTTGCACTTCTCTGTCACTCCTTTTATTTGGAAGCCAGACAGCAGTTTCATTATCCCCGGAACCTAATGAAGGAATGAGACCTAAAGTAAATATCAAGTATAACACCATAATATAAATGATTAATCCATCAAAAAGGATACATATATATATACGGAGGACGCTTGGGAATAAAGTAATGATCTGCTTCCACCTCCCCAAAATACATTCTGGTCGTTGCTAAATATTGCTACTCTGCTACTCTCCCAGACCAATATTGGAAGGTATGCACCCTCCCCCTAGAGGTACTTTTAGAACTGCTGAATCATTACATGTTTTCAAAACAGAAAAAATTAAGAGCATTTTAACGTTTTCAAAAATAGATAATAAATGCTTAAAATACATTCTGGTCGTCCTTTGTAATTAGTTTTAATTATCACTAGTTTTAAAAATTGTAATAGATAACAAACTGCTCCTTTATAAAATAATTTTGTTGTTTTTGCTTTATCTTAAACTTGTACATAATATATAGTATTACTTTATTATAATTACCTTTGTCATTTATATTCTATTTGTTTTTGCTATACCTTCGGAGATATGAGCATTAGTTGATGCTATCTTTTGGAATTCGAAGTGAGATTAAGTTTTTGATTTGATTTGAAATATATAGGGAACATAAGAAGTAATCGAAGAACTGAACAAAGGTTCCAGTCAGAACAAAGGGTGGGGGGAGGGGAGGGAAAAAACGCTGTTGTGAATGAACCGAAGCTCTAAACGAACTGACTGGGAAAGGACAGTGTACGGCAAAAAGAGGAGCACAAGTGCATGATAAGCATGTGATAATATGAATGGAACCTTTGTGGAGTCTAGTAATATATCATGCTACATTACAGTGGACTTTACCAAAGAAGAAGGATACATTGTAATCAAACAACTAGTTAGTGTTCATCGTTCTTTCTTGTACTTTGAACTAGTATTTACCATTACTTAGTACAAAAACTTATACAAATGTTGCACGTTGTGTGACATAAGAACCGAGACATGATTGTTGCTAGTATGTCCTAAGTGTGCTTTCATAGGGCATCATTCTCAGGTTTATTAACAACAGTTTATGCTACCATAAACTTGAACTTGTACGTATATAGAGCGGTTTTCACTTGACTGTCGAAAGGGATTGGTTTTGGTTTTGGTTTTGGTTTTACTACGCCCTTTGGTTGGCTAGTGTATTTACTTTGGTTTTGGTTTTACGACAGTCAAGTGAAAACCGCTCTATAGGTACAGCTTTTTGTTTAGTTACTACAATCTGTGCCTACACAAAAATTTTCATGTCTCTGCGTCATAACCAAATTCATGTTCAGAACCATGTTGTTCAAGGTCGATCAAGCCAAGCAAATACACTGAATATAGCTCGATACAGAAAGGCAGTGTACAGTGCACTGTGGGTGCAGGTAACATTGGTTATTTGTTATCTGCCGTACGGTATAGCTGTAGCATTAACACCTCAAAGGGGGATGCCTTTATCTACGTTTCTTGCTAGGGGATTTACAGTTACTTTATTGTTTTTAAACTCGTCGTTAAACCCGTTTCTGTACTGCTGGAAGATCACAGAAGTGAGACAAGCTGTAAAAGAAACAGTACAACAACTATACTTCTGTATCAACTAAGACTTAGACTAAGAACATAGTTACTAACGAACTTGATAAGAAAATATATATAAGAAAACCAGACAAATGCTCTAGTCCGAATTGCACCTTTAAGATTGTTTTCTGTTTCATTGCAGATTGTAAAGACACAAACACAAACAAAATCATTTGTTTATGTTAAAAAGTTTAATAATCATAAAACAAAATGAAAATATCACTAAAACTGCTCAGTTAGCTAATTAGTTCTATGGCAATGAAGACTACGAAGCAGGCACATATTCTTAAAAAGAACAGCTCACTTGCCCGCAACATCACACCGACAAACTCTTTTGACTAATGTTTTTTAAAGCCAGAAGACAATCAGGGAGTTTTACTGTTCTGCGGAATTTACTGGAGAGGTACAAGGCGAACTTATCTTGAAAATACACTGCATAAATAATAGCTGTTGATAACCATAAAAGCCTCTATGTTCATAGTATACTGATCAAGTTTAACAAACGTCATAAGGTCTGTTTGGTAAAACTAATCAGGGCGCAAAAAAATTAATTTTCCGAATGCTTTTTCAAAATCGAACAATGTTTATTGTGGGATAATTTGATGGCCAATAAATACACATTTATGTCCCCTTTCACGAATATGGTAAAATAATACCAACTCCGAGTGCACTTAATGTCAACAGCCAAGCTTAGTTTGCTAGAGTGCATATAAAATAGCAACAAACCGTTGGGATTAAAATTCTGGCCATTCCAGATGGCCGCTTTTATTTACATAACTAAGAAATCCAAGAAATAAGAAACTAAAAGTAATTTATTTAAGCTCTAGCAAAGGTGAGGGCCACGATAAAAGGCAAAACTTAATGTAGACCAAAAACTTAATTACACATTGGAGGAGAAATGGGGTGGAGGTGGGTTGATTTCTTGAACGTCCGAAGATTGAGCTTGCAAATTGTGAGTGGAATTGAAGTTGTTCACCTTATAACTCCTCGAGAAGGACGATCATACGATTGTGTAATTTTACTGAAAACGTGGAGAGTAAAATTACTGCACATGTTGAGTAAATGTACGGAACGAGGACTATAGTAATTTTACTGAACGTGTTCCAGGGATATAAGTGGTCCCTGAGATCTCCTGATTATCTTGTGATCGTTACTTTACATGACTGTACCTTTTGCCTATTATATAGTAAGTAGCAAAGGTCAAGAGAATCACCTGTACATGTCGACGAACATTATCAGGTCACAAAATCAACCACCTCGACCCTACTTTAAACTGTGTACATAACTACATATTATTGTGTAGGTGACATAAATTTTTTTATTTGCAAGCAAATAAACTCATTAACGTTGTTCTGTTGCCTAACACAGGACATTTTAATAAAAACTTGCGAGCATACGAAGGCTTTTGGTTTTAGGTATAATGAAAAGTGAACCCTTATACTTGGTAATGGATTCATGATAACCGTCACGAATATAGCTAGAGAGGTATTTAGTATAGTAGAACAAAGTTGATGACTTGGTGTAGTTGGTGTAGTTAGTGTAGTGATGTACTTGGTGTGGTTGGTGTAGTTAGTGTTGTTTTTTGTAGTTACTTTAGTTGCTGTAGTTCGTGTAGTTATTGTAGTGAGTGTAGCACGTGTAGTTGCTGTAGTTACAGTAGTTGGTGTAGTATGTGTAGTTGCTGTAGTTAGTGTGGTTGCTGTAGTTAGTGTAGTTGGTGTAGTTGGTGTAGTTGGTGTCATTACTGTAGTTGGTGTAGTATGCGTAGTTGATGTAGCTGGTGTAGTTAATGTAGTTGGTGTAGTATGTGTAGTTAGTGTAGTTCGTGTAGTTCGTGTAGTTGCTGTGGTTACTGTAGTTGCTGTAGTTTGCGTAGTATGTGCTGTTGGTGAAGTTGGTGTAGTTAGTGTAGTATGTGTAGTTGCTGTAGTTAGTGTAGTTGCTGTAGTCGGTGTAGTATGTGTAGTATGTGTAGTTGGTGTAGTTAGTGTAGTTGATGTAGTTGGTGTAGTTGCTGTAGTTGCTGTAGTTGCTGTAGTTACTATAGTTTGTGTAGTTACTGTAGTTGCTGTAGTTGGTGTAGTTGGTGTAGTTAGTGTAGCACGTGTAGTTGCTGTAGTTGCCGTAGTTACTGTAGTTGGTGTAGTTGCTCGGTGTAGTATGATAAGTTAATGTTTGGTGTAGTTGGTGTAGTTAGTGTAGTTGATGTAGTTGGTGTAGTTGGTGTAGTTACTCTGTAGCTTTTGTTACTCTCTGTAGCTTTCTCTGTTTAATATATATTTTTTATGTTGAGGGTGTTGTTGTTGTTTGTTTGTTTAACGAAATAATGTTGCTTTGTTAACTCGCTTATTTTTATTATCATAATTGATTTACCTTCTTATAAAGCTTTCAACGGGTGAAGTTATTTATAGATTTCTTCTGCATTATGTTTGGTAGATGATCGCAGTTATAAACACCTCATCGGTATATTACCGTAAAGTTTCGGAAAGTAACGAGCCTCCCAAAGAATCAACCCTCAGAAAGTTGCGTTAGATTTCACAGGTGTTAGCAAATCACCACAATTAATTTCCTACAGCAACTACAGTAACTACACCAAACTACACCAACTACACCAAACCAGACCAAATTACACCAAACTACACCAACTACACCAAACTACACAAAACTACACCAAACTACACCAACTACACAAACTATACCAAACTATACCAAACTACACCTACTAAACCAAACTACACAACTACACAAAACTACACCAAACTACACCTACTGCACAAAACTACACCAACTACACCAAACTACACCAAACTACACCAACTACAGCTACTACATCAACTACAGCAACTACACTAACTACACCAACTAGAGCTACTACACCAACCACAGCTACTACAGCAACTACACTAAGTACACCAACTACACCAGCTACAGCAACTACACTAACTACACCAACTACAGCTACTACACTAACTACAGCAACTGCACTAAGTACACCAACTACACCGGCTACAGCAACTACGCTAACTACACCAACTGCAGCAACTACACAAACTATACCAAACGTCAACTTTAACATAGTACATTAAGTCATCACTACATAAATATGTCTCTATATTCGTGACGGTTATCATGAACCCATTACCTTATACTTCTGGTTTGCATGTGACGTCACAGCGGCCATCTTGGTCGTCAAGAACAAAAGCATTTCTCTTCTCTGGGAAGTAACCTCTATTTTCATGTAAATTCTTCGAGAAGACAATTCTATTGTACTGACCCCCAACATGGTCGCCTTGTCACGTGGATGCAAACTAAGAATATCCACATGGTAACGTGATATCAATGGAGGAGAAGGGGCTGTCATCAGTCCCCCTCGGCCGGGTGATTGCTCAGATGACTAAATGTTACCTACTGTTGTTATTTGCCATCGTATCGATTGTTTTATCCAAAATAAAGTCTGTTGCGAGGTCGAATTATTGCAGGAATTAGTAGCAAAAGCGAAGTACTTTTTCAGCTAAGAGCTAAAGAAGACTCATATACAATGCTTAAACAATGGAACATCACCCATGGCCCTAGGGCACGAAACCCCCTCCTTTACAAAAATGGGCCTTGGGTCCATATAACAGTTGAGTACGCCACCAGAACTGCTAACTTTTGTCCCCTATCACTTTCAAATTCGTTCCTACGGGTCTGCATGACAAGACAGCATATCTCGGGAAAAAAGGCGGCGAGAAAACTTCTTCGATTTGAAAGTAGGTTGGCTGTGCTTGGTAATTTGAATTGCGCGTCACACAGAAAAACAGGCACACGTTGATTTGGCCAATTGATTCATGATAAAAACTTATCTTCTCGGAATAATGGTAGTCTTTCGTTGTTTTCACTTTATTTGTAACTAAACTTTAATTTGAATAATCATTTTACGTAAGTGCATCAATCTTAGCCATCGGTAGCTGTCCGGCAAACTGAGAAAGGTTTACCTCGAATTATGGATTGCTTACTAGCCTACGTAATTTAGTTTACTTTAAAAAAGAGACGAAGAACAACAGTCAACAAGCTGTAAACAAATCGAACAACAGAGGTGCTATGTACAGGTTGCTGTATATGGGGAAAGTATATATATTAATAATATAGTTTTACCTGTATTTTTTAACTTGGTTTAGCAAAAAGTATCTCACTCTACTACTTGGCAATTTAAAACAACGAAAAATCATTAAAAGGCCGATTAAAAGCCTTTATCTGACGCCGGGCACTAAGTCAGTAGTGGTCCCTAGAAGTATTTCAACGAGTCACAATTTTAATTATATCAAGTGATTTCTGCACCGTTCTTTGAAGTTAGTCGGTTGCAGGCAATTACCTTCAAGAGGGCATTCCGGTTTCTTGACGGTAATTGCCTCAGACAAAACGTGATTTACCAAGCGACTGTAACGACTGGGACAACAACAGAATCACACATTGGACTTAGTAGCCACTAACTTCAAAGAACAGTACAGAAATCAGATCACTTGACATCCTTCCGACACGCGAACAGAAGAAACGAGACGGAACTGTCCAAACATGTGTGGACCCTCAAAGATGCCAACAGATCCTTTCATGTGCAGGGGAAAGTACTCAGGAATTGTGAACCATATGACAAGGCTAGCAAAAATTGTAATCCGTGCCTCCAAGAAAACATTTTTATCATTTGTAAAAAACACTTGTGTACTCTGAACAAAAGAAACGAATTAGCAAGTTCATGCCCATACAGAAATAGATTCACTATCAGAAATTTTAGAATAACGTAACGCAACGCAACGAAACCGCACGGATGCCGAAAAACCCATTGGGAACCTCTATACCTCCGTGTCAACTTTGTGTCTATTTACCAAGTTTTTAATCACTCTGCGTCTGCCTCGTCACCAGCCTCTCGCAATGGCATATTCAGAGATTTTTAAGTTCGGAGGCCTACCCATCATCCCCCACTCGCTGTTCTACACTCGTTTCCCACACCCCGCATTGAACTCCACCCTCCTCACTTAGCTTTGGAAAAGAAACACGTTTCACGCGCAAAAATTCTCAGAAGCAGTCTTAAAAATTGCTTTTGCCGCAGTAGTTGCATCTTGTTCCACAAAACTTGGCGGAGTTGCTTGACGGCACCCCAGTGCAAACTGTAGAACTATATTATTTACATTTTATTACCTTGTTTTTGCATTATATTTCCTCGTTTTTGCTCCGTGTTTAATACAACTACATGGCTCTCAGCCAATCCTCAGATTTAAGAATTGTTTTTCATGTCTATTATTATGATGAAAGACAGGTTACATTCAAATAATTCCCTAAGCTCTGAAACAGTGTCATTTTCAGTTTAAGTATTTTTTTTTGCCAAAAAAGAAAACTTGATACATATGCATACAGACATTCAATATATTACAAAAATGTTATTTGAAGATTAAAGAGAAGTAAATTGTAAGGAAAAGAATTAAACAAAATTTTTCTGGCGTTGAAGCTCAAATGGAAACCTTGGGGCTTATTATATGAGCTCCCTCCCTAACCTAAGACTAAACATAATGAATAAATAAACGGCAAAATCATACTGAAATATAATTAGGATAAAAAGCAAGCAAAACAAAACGGACAAAACAGACAAAAAGCAGCAAAAAAACAAGTATTATTTACTAATGGTTAATCAACTAAGAAGAAATGTTTTTAATCTGGATTTAAAAAGAGAGATAGTAGCAGCAAAAACGAACGTAAAGCATTTTTTTCTCTTTAATTCTCATCTCGTAAGTATATGGTACAAACTGACCCAGACATAATTTAGCCCATTTTTTGAACATTTGTATAACTGTTAAGACTTCCTGGCTGCGATGAGACGATTAGTAGCACATTAATAATTTACTGAGCGCGTCAGTTAAACGTCTGGCAATTGATTAAACTTGGCCTTTTTTAATCAATTTGAATCTTTGTTCTACAGATGTATCGATCAAGAATCGGTTAATAAACTTTGTATCACTGATTTCTTATTTTTTATAAGATAATGGATACATTTGTACATATTGTATATAGTTGTCACGAATTTCTTATTTGCTTATACTGTACATAGTTTTTTTTTAATTTCTTAATTCTTATATTCTTATTTTTTTCATTTTCAATTAATTTATTAATTTATTTATTTATTCTTTTTTAACTTATTTTAGTGTCCCCACTTAGTGGTTACACACCGCTATTACAGTTTTGACACTTTAATAAAGGTATCATCATCATCATCATGACAGTTTAGCTCGTTTTCTAAAACCCAGACAATTCGGCTATTTGTTTTGCCAACTGCAGGGCAGCAACAAGATTGCCAATAACTCCGTCGTTTAATAAAATGAAAATACAGCCCACATATCTAATTGGTTTGTGACATGATGAAGCTATCACATAAGGAAAACAGATATATTAAAAAAAGGTTCGCTTAAACGTAGCTGCTTCGGAGAAAAGTCGTGGTAATGACATAACTACCAAACAATTAGAGAACTGTATTGTTCTGCAAAATTCACTGGAGAGTCGAGGAGAGGTACATGGCGAGCTAATTTTTCTCTGAGCCAAAAGAGGACAGCTAAATATGATGGTGAACGATGGTGCAAGTTCCATGTTAATATTTTGGGTTCACTATACTCAATCGAAATGAACATCAATCACCATGGCGTTTTTAATTTTAAATATTCTACCTTTCGTATAACAGATCCGAATTAGACGCGCCGGGAGATGATGTGAACGGGGAAAATAAATTTAAAAAACAATTTAAATGAAGATATAATCTTGACGTAGTGAAATAACAATTTAAGCAATTGCAAATAAACCACCCAAAATGTGGCCCACACAGTCTGACATGTTTGGGGATAAACTCGGTTAACACTTCCTCTTCTAAAGAAAATGTGGCCAATTTAGTGCTGGTATCCATGTGAACGTCAGTCAAAGCTGAAGAAAAACGGCACAAGCAATTTGAAGATACAAAATACAGAAACACTTAAAAGCCCCCCAAGTTTAATAAGTTTAATATAAGCCCCACCAGTAACAGGCTCGCCGATATAAGTTCCCCTCTAACTTGTATTGAAATGAATGTGTTATATTATGACACTGCTTTAGCTTGTTTCGAACAGCTTTTTCCATTCCCGTTATAATCTCCCTCGGATATAAGCCCCTCCGTTTAATCTATAAGCCCTCCTAAAACCGCTTACAAAGATGTATAATCCCAGGGATTTTAAGCGGCTGTTTACAGCACCGCATATCATATGCTCGGCTCACAAACTTAACACCTCCTTTGGCGAAATTTTCTCGTTCTTCCTCTCACTGTGTTTACTAAAACTGCATTGCTCTCAGCTAATCGTCGAATTCAATATATATATATTTTTTCATGATTTTGATTATGATAAAAACAGGTTACATTCTTATTTCCTAAGCTAGAACGAACGTTTTATTTTCTTTAATTCCCATCTCGTAAATGCCCCAGACTTTAGAGCCCATTATTTGAACATTTATATATTGTTACTGAGACTTCGGTGCCTGCGATGACCCTATGAGCGTGCTGCGCGGGTCAGTTTAACTTCTGGCAATTGACGAAAACCCGTTTTCTACTCAATTTGAATATATGCTTAACAGAACTATCGATCAAGACTTGGTTAATAGACTTCTTATTACTAACAGTTTAGCTCGTTTTCTAAAAGCCAGGTAATTGTGCTATTTGCTCCTTAATCGCACAGCAAAACAAAGTCAACAGCAAGATTGTCGAATTCCGTCGTTTAATAAACTAAAAAAACAGAGCACATATTTAATTGTTTGCTGACAAGGTGTAGCAGTCATATAAGGAGAACAGATATATTAAAAAAGAGTTCAGTTGACTGTAGCCGAATCGCAGAAAAGTCATGGAAATGAAAAATTTTACTGGAGGTGAAAACCTGCAAACAGCTGTAGAATTCTTCTGCTCTGCAGAATTTACTGGAGAGGTACATGGCGAGCTCATTTTTCTCTCTGTCGTTAATACTTGTTTGTCCATTACAGCATTTTTAGGGAACGCTCTGATCCTAGTTGCCCTACACAAGGACACATCAATTCATCCGCCGTCCAAACTCCTGTATCGTAACCTAGCGATAACTGATCTTTGTGTTGGTATCATGGGGGAGCCTCTGTATGTTGCTTGTATGATGTCTGTGGTGAACAAAAGATGGGCTATATGCTATTACGCATGTTTGGCAGTATATTTCGCAGGTGTTACTTTGTGTGGAGTGTCGTTGATAACACTGACTGCAATAAGCGTGGACAGACTTCTCGCTTTGCTACTGGGTCTCAGATACAGACAAGTTATAACTTTGAAAAGAACATGTTTAATTGCTATTGGTGGTTGGATTGTGTCCATTGTCGGTGCATCTATCTCCTTTCTTAATCTTCGTATATTTTCATTGTACCAATATATTGCTACAGCTTTTTGTTTAGTTACTACAATCTGTGCCTACATAAAAATTTTCATGTCTCTGCGTCATAACCAAATTCATGGTCAGAACCATGTTGTTCAAGGACAATCGAGCCATGCAAATACACTGAATATAGCTCGATACAGAAAGGCAGTATACAGTGCACTGTGGGTGCAGGTAACATTGCTTATTTGTTATCTGCCGTACAGTATAGCTGTAGCTTTCAGAACACGTCAAGGGGGGATGCTTATATCTACTTACCTTGCTAGGGAATTTACAGTTACTTTATTGTATTTAAACTCGTCGTTAAACCCCTTGCTGTACTGCTGGAAGATCACAGAAGTGAGACAAGCTGTAAAAGAAACATTACAACTACACTTCCGTATCAACTAAGACTTAGACTAAGAGTTATGGAATTAAGACTACCAGTTGTAAAAAGCCGTCCAGAAAGTATAGTTTTAGCTTGTCAAAGGAACCTTTACTAACAAACCTGATAGGAAACTGATAGGAAACTATTGTGCTATTTGTTTTGCCAATTGCACGGCAGCAACAAGATTGCAAATAACTCTGTTGTCGTTTAATAAAATGAAAATACAGCCCACGTATCTAACTGGTTTTTGACATGATGAAGCTATCATATAAGAAAAACAGATCTACTGTATTTAAAAAAGGTTCGCTTGAACGTATTTGCTTCGGAGAAAAGTCATGGTAATGCCAAACTAGCAAACAATTAGAGAACTGTATTGTTCTGCAAAATTCACTGGAGAGTCGAGGAGAGGTACATGGCGAGCTAATTTTTCTCTAAGACAAAGGAGGACAGCTAAATATGATGGTGGTGCAAGTTCCATGTTAATATTTTGGGTTTACTATACTCAATCGAAGTGACGTCACCATGGCGTTTTTAATTTTTAATATTCTACCTTTCTGATAACAGATCCGAATTGGACGCGCCGGGAGATGATATGAACGAGGGAAATAAATTTAAAAACAATTTAAATGAAGATATAATCTTGACTAGTGAAATAGCAATTTAAGCAATTGCTAATAAACCGCCCAAAATGTTAAAGTTATAGCCCACACAGTTTGACATGTTTGGGGATATACTCGGTTAAGACTTCCTCGTCAAAGAAAATGTAGCCAGTGAAGTGAAGTGAGACAAGCTGTAAAAGAAACATTACCACAAATACACTTCTGTATCAACTATGACTTAGACTAAGACTTATGGCAATAAGACTACCAGTTGTAAACCGCCGTCCAGAAAGTGTAGTTTTGGCTTGTTAAAGGAACATCTACAAACGAACTTGATAGGAAACTATAAAATATGAAAGAAAAAAATAATTAGAACTTTATTCTTTTTTAAGTTTACGTGGAACCACACCTCGCTTGTCATTTGTTTTTCACCAAATTCAAATCAAATATGTCTCAAACATGAAAGAGGAGCTTTCGTGGCTTTTGACTGAATGGAGAGGAGCCCAGAGAAAATACATTTTACCTTTCAATAGGTAACAACAGCTCGACTTAGAATATCAGACAAACGACTTATTGACGAGATCAAGCAAACCTAACTTCGAGAGAATGACAATTTGCCTAACAATAGACGACTGTTTAACTGTGACAATAGACGGATCGAAACGCACCAATTACTGATTACGAGTCTTCATAGCCAATAACTTCACGGCTTAACTGACAGACGATCAATAACATCGCAACGTAATTGAACAATCAGATCAATAACCAGAGTATAATACCATCAACTGACGTGATACAATTCACTTTGACTCTGAAGATGACTACCGCACAGGTTGTCGAACGTCAGTCACTGTAAACAATAACAGTTCTATTCAGGACTACGTTCACCCGGACTCAACCTACTTTTGAAATGACTCCTGGGCTCAAACCTTTCACAAATGTCCTGTATCTTTCCGAATTGAACCGTTAAGACTGTTTTCAGTCTCATTGCAGGTTATATTTAGACATTAGGATCATTAAGATCGAAAACCTCTCCCCCTCCCCCCGAAAGAGCTCTTCGAAGAGGATCAAAGACCGGACCAGGGAAACGCCGGAAATCGAGCCCACAAACTCATTTGTTCATGTTCAACATGCAAGCTAATAATCAGAGTAATCTTAATACAAAATGGATACTCACTAGTTATCTAATTACTTGTCTGATAATGAAGACCCAATGAAGGCTATGAATAAGCCACAGAAATAGAACAGCTCATTTGCACACAGTTACGTGACAGAGACACCAGCCAGAAAACCGTCAGAGAATTGTAATGTTCTGCGAAATGTACTTTAAAATACAGTAGCATAAATAGCAGCTGTTTATCAAACAAAAACCACTATGTTAATGATATATGAAATAAATCATATATGAACTGCGGAAATGAAATGAAGATGAAGAAATGATCGTCGCAGTGAATGCAATTTATGCAATTGCGTAAAGAAGCCTGAAAAAAAAATTCAGGACTTCAACGGGGTTTGAACCCGTGACCTCGCGATTAGCGGGGCGATGCTCTACCAACTGAGCTATGAAGCTACTAACGTTGGGGGCAGGTCAATTGTGGGTTCATATGTTCCCGTGAAAGAAATGAGTGTTAATTATATATGAAATAAATCCACCTTTCCCCTTTCCCCCCGAAACGCCCGATACTCAGGCTATAACAACTGCAAAACACAAATTAACTGCTCTGTTGACCTTACTGGAGAGGTACATGGCGAGCTTGTTTTTCTCTCTGTCATTAACATTGTTTTGTCAATTACAGCATTTTGGGGGAATACTCTGATCCTAGTTGCCCTTCACAAGGACACATCCATTCATCCGAAATCCAAACTCCTGTAACGTAACCTAGCGATAACCGATCTTTGTGTTGGTATCATTGTTGAGCCTCTGAATGTTGCTCATTGAACATCCGTGGTGAACAAAAGATGGGATATTTGCTATTACACATTGACAGCATATTTCCCAGATGTTACTTTGTTTTCAGTGTCGTTGATAACACTGATTACAATAAGCGTGGACAGACGTCTCGCTTTGTTACTGGGTCTCAGATACAGACAAGTTGTAACTTTGAAAAGAACATGTTTAATTGCTATTGGTGGTTGGATTGTGTCCGTTGTCGGTGCATCTACCTCCTTTCTGAATCCCCCTATAGTTTCATTGTACGTGTATATTGTTATAGCTTTTTGTTTACTCACTACAATTTGTGCCTACACAAAACTTTTCATGTCTCTGCGTTATAACCAAATTCATGGTCAGAACCATGTTCAGCATGTTGTTCAAGGGCAGTCGAGCCAAGTAAATACACTGAATAAAGCTCGATACAGAAAGGTAGCGTACAGTACACTGTGGGTGCAGGTAACATTGGTTATTTGTTATCTGCCGTACGGTATAGCTGTAGCTTCACTGTATCTTGGCATTACAGTTTTACTTAACCCATTCGCCCCTGAACCGCCTGTAACCGCCCGTGCGGATCCACGTCCTTTCTACCCTTTGTGACGGCATCAGTTTTAACGGTCAAGGACAACTTTGTCCGCTAACTTGTGCAGAGTGAAGAGATCTTTCAAACCATAACGGAATGAGCACAATTCAGTCAAGGATACCGGAGAAAGAAGCAAAAAACCATGTGACATTGACCTGAAAATCTCCATGAAAATCTTGCTCCATTGCTCACCTACCTTTCCTTTCACCTAATCATAAGATCCTAAAAGCTTTTCTAAAGACTCTTCCCACCAAAACGAAGCCTACTAAATGCCCAGCAAGAGAAAAAAAATGAGGCAAGAAAAGCGAGAAAAGAGGGGAGGAGAGAAAGCGAAATTTTGCTTTCTGCGCATGCCCGAACTTTACAAGCTGATATTTTGAATCTGGACCAGAAGGCCGCGAAGTGTACGACTTGTAAACCACTTTGTGGTAAGTTTTAGCTTTTTGTAGCACGACAGTGACCAGAAAACCACTCGACTAGCTTCAAAACACGTTTTTCGGCAAACTCTCCAGGAGCGAATGGGTTAATGTCCCCCCGTATGGTTCAAAAGATCGCTAAATAGCACAAAACGCGAGTTTAACTTATAAACACTCGTAGAAATTCTTGGTGGAGATGTGTTGCCCGGTTCTCCAAATCCTGAGCCTGACAAAAATTCTACTTCCTACACCCATAGTTTTAAGATCTATGGTCTGATTTCCGTCTCTAACATCCATGACAGGGGTCACAAACGCGATGTACATGTTTAGGTGTAAATCATGTCATCATCGTTTGGAGTATATAACGGTGGATGATATGTTTCGGTTATTATTCACGTAAAGGTGAGTAACTTCTCCTATCTTCCTCATATCCCAAGGCTTAGAAATGGAATTGTCGCATCTATAGGACTTTTTCTCTCACTAACACCGATATTATTTTTTTAAAAAGGGGGAGCCTTGGATCCACTACAGTGCTTATCAGGTAAGTACCGGTTGGGTACCTGAAGAATGGTGTGACCAGGACATGTGAAGGAACCTGAAAGGCTTTGGAAAGTTTCACCCCGAGAACGAGTAGCAGGATAGCAAAAGTTAACAACAACACTGACCGAGGTCAAATGAACATGCAGACCAATTTACTGTGCACAACTGATTTATTCACATAATTATATAATCTATAAGTAAATCTTTAAGGACTACATACATTAACCAGCAAAGACCTAATAAATTATTTGATTATGTCGGCTGGAATAAGATTCAGCACGTGTAAATGATAGTTCCGATGCCTTTCAATTTTACCCGTTTCCGAAAGAGGTTTATAGTCCTCTTTTCGAACATAATTGATAAAACCTGTACTGCACCTACAAGATTGAGCGCTTACCATTCGTATGGAAAACCCGGTAATTCCGAGGAGAATTCAAATGGAACGGTTCATCCCGGTGGAAAATTTCTGGAAAAAAAGTAATACCTTTCGAGGTATTACCTTTTTCCCCTTTTTACCGAAACGACGGAAATTTTTTGTACCATTTGTCTGGTTAACCAGTGCCAGGCTTCCTTTTGAGGCGGACGGTGAAAAATGGCGGTCTTTTCCCAGAAGGGTTATGGTGTTTTGCAAATGTACAACTCTAACCCGTTCCTCTTTTCGGAAACATTTTTAAGTCCAGTACCATTTGTCAGAACTTTTTCACCGAAATTTCCTTACAAATGGTAAGCGTTCATTGTTTCCTTTTTGAGTTTCATGTAATGCCAGTTCCCAGGTTTTACAAAACTCTATTAAACGTATATACAATCCGAGATAGCAAGATCAGTTACTTGTATTTTACTGCAGCCGTTCTGTCTCTTTAAATATAAAAATTCCTGACCTTAGTCTGTAAATAGAATATTTCTTAACCTGGTAGTAAATTACAGTCTCATTAGGTAATGAACTTGTAAGTATTCCTAGCCAGCACCTGACAGTGCACAGCCGTTTTCTGTCAACTACTTCTAGTAACAACTAAAATGTTCTGACTACAGGGTGTCCCAAAAGTTTGTTCCTGTAATTTCATGCGCTACAACTTCTGATTAAAACTTCATTTTTACATGAAATTTCTGAAATATGTTTCTTACTCTATCGAGTACATGTGCTCAGAAGTTCAGTTACCGGCCCCCCCTTTTTGTTTTTTTTTATCACACTCTGTCAGCCGTTGCGGCGTTAAGTGCAGATAAGCCATGTAGCATGTAGAGCCCTAGGTGATTAATTTTAAGCTTTTTAATCACCTAGTATGCAGGAGTCAGTTCGACCCCCAAACAGTATGATTTTTAAGATTAGGCAGCTGAAACAATATTGATTGATGATGGGCATTGATCCAAGAAGAGATGATCATTCATTTCCCCTTTCCACAGCGAGGCTTTTGTTCTTCTTTACAAATTTGAGACAAGCTGAACGTTGCTTGGCGGACGGCCTGGCCGGGAGTAAAGTTTTTTCGCCATCTCAGAGGTCTCCAAACTTTGCTTTTCATGAACCTGCTCCAGACTTAACTTGCTAACTGTTCTAAGATCTACCTCGCTGGGTTTCCTGTTTTGTACATGGCCTTCTTTAAAACTATTTTAGCGGTTTTATTCAGGGCTTTCGGTCTTCCCCGTTTCGATTCTGTAAAACCTTTATTTCTCTATGACCATCTTACCACTCAACATTCGGATTTTTCCAATTTTTTTAGGAATTTCTTTAACTGAAAAGCCGGTAGATAGAAATACATGCTTCTGCTCACACGTAGCTGAGTGTCTTTTTCGTTGACAGGGTTTATCTTTCAGGATATTCACACAAAACAAGTTAGGAGTTCGAGCATTTCGGGCTACAAAATGCAAAAAATATATGGCGGGAAAATTTACTCGCGCAGCGCACCTTTGGCGCGAAATTACACAAACTGAATTTCGAGTCAAAAGATGGCACAAGAAGTATGAAATATTAAATTAGACTGAAAGTCACAAGTATGCTTATGGTTAAATTATGTGCTGATAAAGTCCAATCGTACTGCGTTACAGACTTATAAAGGAGAGGAACGAACCTTTGGGACACCCTGTATACTAAGGCTAGATGATGAGATTGATTCTGCTTAAACCGAGTTTCAGTGGAAAGCACGCTACATGAACCGTATTTCCTCGAATAATAGCCAGGGACGATTATTCGAGGGAGGCGATTATTTAAATTATCGCTCATTGGAAGTCGTGCCCTAAATCTTTTGTTTTATTATCCCATTAAATCAAAAAATTATCACATCAAATAAACTGAACATGGGCTATTTAAGTGTTCCAAATTTGGTTCCTTCATTAACTTCCAGAGCTTGAATCATCACTGATCAGTTTTTCTGGATCAGATTGCACTTCAACTTGACAGGGAGGGGATGAGAGAAAGAGAAGGGAGGGAGGCGATTATTTTAAATATTTCCATCAAAGGGGGGCGATTATTCGAGGGAGGCGATTAATCGAGGGACGGCTATTCGAGGAAATACGGTATATTACATTAAAAGTCCCTTTTCCTTAGAATTAAGGGTCCGATAAACGTAAGAAGAGAAGTGTCTCGTCAAAACAACAATGCCGAATTAAAGTTTAATTACAGTCTTATGTGAACACTCTCCGGACTTGTAGTATACGACTGTGAATGTAAAAATGTTCCTTCTCCTTTTTTAGAAATGCCAGATGAACGTAAGTAGCTGGGAAAAACCTCGTTCCCAGGGTCCTCTCCTACTCGGCGAAGTTGAGCTGGAAACTGAGCGTCTCTTCAAAGTAAAAATGCTGAATTTAAGTTTCATTGAACAGTTTTTATGCTGCTCGGGGGCCTCTAAAATCTGCAAAAAGGAAAATATATAATCCATTGGTTATTTCTTTCTATCTTTCCCTTTCAAATTTCACGTTTTCATCAATTTACTGAGCGTCATATCAAGCATACTTTTTTAAAAAAACGGAAGTGTGAGACAAATTGAGGCACTAATGCCTTCGTAAAATTCCTTTTGTTGATACCTTGGGTAAAAGTGTCCTGCTAATATTCTTTATGCCATCCATAAAAAGTTGAAACAAAAAGGTTCTCTGTATCTTTTTTTTTTTGCTTCAGTACGATCTTAGTCTGGCCAGGTGATTATGAAGCCTGTCTACTGACATACTGTACCTGTAGCCTCCTGCTTTCTGGAAGTAAAATGACTGGTAAAAACTAATTTCTGTTCACAAGTTCTGGTAGCGTGCCTAAAAAAGAGGAAAAATAAGATATCAGAGTTCCCAGAGGTTTGTCTTAATAATTTTCTCCACGCGAAAAGGAAAACTTCTACGTCCTTGCTACCATAGGATCACAGTAATCTTCTACATTGCCAAAATATTACGTGCTCATTTTGTTATGACAGACATCTGGACACTACTCGTTAGAAGATCGACATCTCGGCCGTTTACATTTTCTGTTTTAAAATTGAATAAAGAACATCGTGTTTAGCAAATAAGAAACTGGTTCCTTTTCCAGTTTTTGTAGCCTACAAGCAGGATAAACTCTTAAACCCCATTCACACCAAAGCTTAAACATGTTTAAAGCTGTTTAGTTTAAACACGGTTTAAAATTGTCTCCTTCTTAAAAGCTGCTTTCAGACTTAAGTTAATTGCAAACTTAGTGCAAATTACAAAACATGTTGAATTTCATTTGAACCCTGTGAAAAAAACCTGTGTTCCAGCTGTCCGTGTCTGTCTTTAGACATGTTTAATTGATGTAAATGGGGGCATTAGTTGACAGTTGACAAATTAAGGTTAAATTGAGTCATAGATCACTATATACAGTTGTCCAACTTAAAAGTTCGAATCTTAGAGTTTGTTCCTTTCGGTGAATCCAAAAACGGATTTTACATCTTAAAAAGGATTTCGCGTTCCTTTCGGCAAATCTAAATCCAGATTTTTGATCTGGTGAATCCTTTTTGAAAAAGGATTCATTTGATTTGAAATCCGAAGGACGTACTACGAAGCTTAAGCCTATAATCTTAACCTTTTGAGTGATTAACGTTCGGCAAATGACAACTTTGTTGTCTCAGCATGAAATGATAAAGTTGTAATTTTGCTTACTCTCCCCACATACAAGAGCAATGGTACCATTTTCTGCTGGGAAACCAGATACCTCTTCCACAACACGGATATCAGGGTTCAATTAAATAAAACTTTTACAAGTGCAATTTACAGGTGTACCCATTGTTTTAGGGTCAGAAAACAATAGCTTCGCTTTGAATTGCACTTGCAGAAGTTTTCTTAAATTGAACCCAGATACCTCTTCCACAGCCTTGCCCGGCTTCAGAAGTCCTCAGCTGCAGTCCTTTTCCGGAAGAACAAGCCGTTGGTGCCCATAGACCTGAAAGCCCTGTAACAGTACGAATCCAAAGTTTACAAACAGGATCTTGCACTATCCAGTGCAAATTTTGGTCAAGGGCAGCGGTTGTACAGTTGTTGGAAATATACGGCCAAAAAAGGGAAAGCTTCAAGGATCCTAAAAAAAAAAAAAATCATTTGGAATGAAATTGCAGGAATAATGAACTCAAAGGGTTTTAACGAATGTGAAACTAAAACCTGTGAAACAAAGTTTAAGAATTTAATAAGGTCTTACATGACCTGTCCTGATCATAACAAAAAGAGTGGTAACCACCCTATGAGAAAATGCGCAAACTTCGATGAAATGCATGATATATTTCATGATGATGATACAATGAGACCTGTTGCTCTTTTTAGCAGCAAAAAGGGCAGTCGAAAATGATCACATATAGTCCTTCTGCAGATCTAGATTCGGATCAATTTACGTTTCTGGGAAACTGCCCACCTACCCCTTCCCTAAGTCAACATTGACACTTACTTCTTACTTGGGGAAAAATGTTGGGTTTGGGGCGGGGTAGGTGGGCAGTGTCCCAGACACCAAAATTGATCCCTAGATTCTTCCGCTGTAGATGTAGACTCATGCGAAAGTACAAGTAAAGCAGGCACCCCTGATCTCTTGTCGGATGTAAACAAAGGAAAATAGGACAGTTGCTAAGCAAAAGGAAAATACCCAGGATCTTGTCTCGTTGTTTAAGGCGTTTACCCATTCTCGCGAAGAAAGCGAGAAAACTTGAAAAAGATTGAAGAAATGCACATTGAAAAAATGGCATTTATGTGAAGATTTTTACAAGTCTCGTTGTTTAAGGCGTTTACCCATTCTCGCGAAGAAAGCGAGAAAACTTGAAAAAGATTGAAGAAATGCACATTGAAAAAATGGCATTTATGTGAAGATTTTTACAAGTCTTTGTGAAATCACTTGAAAAGAATTAAAGATCTTTGCTGTGTACTTAGCAAAAGCCATGAGAGTGATTTCAAAATGCTTAAAAACAAGACGAGGTTTTTTTATATAGGTTACCATTTTTTAATTGTAAGAAAATCATGTTATTCTTCTTTGAGTTACCCTAGTTAACATTTCAGTAAAATGGGAGGGCCAATTACATGTTCTTGTACTAGCTTGCTTTGCTAAGAGCAAATTTCAAAATTCTTTGGCTGTGGCAACCATGGCTTTGTTCCCACTGACTTTTTATCACGTCATCACTTATTTTAACATAACGTCGACGGCTGCCGTACGGTTGAGTTGAGAGAGCGTACTTGTCTCTAAACTGGTATATCTTCGCAAAATCGACCTGCAAACAGAGGATATTCTAGTCACTAGTTTTCCTTGTCTGAGGTTTTTCATATGCTAAGTCATCTCAGTTTTCCGAGCGAATTAGCCATTCGACGTCTTTGCTGTGTCCTTTGAAGCGTCGAAGCTGAAAGGAAACTCGCTGATCTGCAAAGCTAAAGCCCTGTTTTTCTGAA